GCTTATCCATACAAAAATTAAAACTTATTCATCTATAAATTGAGTTCTAACAATGTCCCTATTAATCTTTTTTAATTGTATTATTCTATTAATAAAACACTTTTAAAATAAATTCTAATTCAATATATTTTTATTCATACAAAATTTATAAGTTTCTATTCAAATTATGATTTATAAATATCTGTTATTTTTATCCCATATCAAAAAAAAATTATCATTTTGTATTCAGATTATTTTTTATAAATATTTGTTATTTGTAAAGCTTAAAATCAAGTTGGGAAACACAACTTCAATATGTAAACAAATTATTGAAAATCACCACTTTTATATTTGTTAGATACTAACTTGGACATCAAAATCCTATTGAAAAACATAATGACAGTAACTAAACATACAATTGACAGCTAATATTGCAGAATACATTACTATAATATCATCATCACCACATACTAATATTTATAGTTTGCAAAATACATGACTTATAATGATGTTTTTAACATTGTAGTCACAAAAATTAAATCCCCAACAAATAACATGTCAAGAAACTTTCAACTCCTCAAATCCATAAGTCATTTTAACTATTCTTTTAACATTTGTAGTCACAGAAATTACATCTCAAGCGTGAAATAAATATAAACAAAATATAAACACAACTAATCCTTCTTTCAAATTATATAACCAACACAATCTGATTCAGTTTCTCTTCTTTGTCGGCTCAACATAAACCAATATTTTATCAACCGATGGATATCAAATGCAAAAATGAAAAGTGTCTCCTTTATTTAACTTTTCCTGTTTGGAAAACCCATGCCACCCAGTAGTAAGATACTTCTCGCTTTTGTCGTCCTTTCTCACCTTCAATACACAGTTTTCGGATATACCCTTGTCAGCATCGTATAACACAATCGAATTGACCGATCCACTTAAGCACTTCTTAATGACATCACGTGATAATTGCTGCAAAACATATAATGGAATTAACTTAAATTCAACCGTACAAAATTATATAAACTGATGCGACAATTATCTTCTATCACTTACCAACACATTTCTACGCACAACCTTAGCATTACGTACAACCATACTCCAACTTTCTTCTTTTTCTTCCATATAGATTGGAGTATATAACCTACAAACAATCACCAAATAAGATATATTCAAAATTAATTTGACTCTGTTTGTCCCATACTTCTTATACATTACATGTTTTCCTTCTAAACATCCTTAACTGCTTCGACATATAACACACTTTTTCGCATTTTCACTACAATTAAAGTCTTCAAACAGACCCACATCATAAAAACAAATGTCCTAATGTTCGTCACTACGGTTTTCTTGGCATTCTCTAATTCTGCTAAAAATACCTACCTAAATTAACTCACTACTCGACAATTACAGTCCTTCCAATATAAACCCTGTATAAATTTTACAAATTCATAGCTTATTAACACAAATGAACAACAATAATATATTCAGAATATTTTGCAACACTAACTTTTACTGATACATTACAGAAATCATAAATAGTTGTTTCACAATAAACCAAGCACAACAACAATATATACAAACTCTACTTGTAAAATGATACATACCTCGACTTATCACAGCGCGCTTCCAAACTTGAGGATCTGTCTGCATAATCGCCTACGGATATCTTTTCCTTCTTTTTTTCCTTCCATAGTTTAGATCCATCTTTTGCACGCACCTTCCTCTTACCCTCAACAACTCTGCACACAATAGATCCTTCAGCCGATCGTACATCTGATTTTACACTTTTCCACTTTTCTATCCATTCAATCAGTGTTAGCCGCTTCTACATAGCCACCGGAATTTCCTGCCGCCTACTCAACCGTTTCCACACACATGCATGTTGTTTTGGCCTATTCATAATCTCCTTAACTACCAGTTGTGTTTCCCAGTTGTTAATCCACTGACCCACACCATCAACCTTCTCAGCCACAAGACGATTATCCATCTCTCTACTGAATCTTTCCCATGGAGTTTTTGTAGCCAACTCTTCAATGGATCTGCAGAGAACAAGCGAGAATACAATGTTTCGGATAACAACATATATGATAATCAATCTGAAATATATTTGAAGATGAAGACAAACTATACTTTTGAGGAATCATAAAAGGAGACAACATCGACATTGTCATTTTCGACAAACTTATGTCTTTGGATAGGCAATACTCTTGGGACCACTACATTGTCTCTATGCCACAATAGATATCCCACCTTTTCTCTTTCAATTTACCCTACATATATTTCATCATTTATATTTCTATTTTTATTTTAACCCATTTTTTTAGAATATATGAATAAATTTCTATAAATAAAATCTTTTTTTTCATTTTACTTAAAAACAAATAATATCTTATATATATATATATATATATATATATATATATATATATATATATATATATATATATATATATATATATATATATATATATATATATATATATATATATATATATATATATATATATATATATATATATATATATATATATCAACATTGAACAAAAATGAGAGGGCCAGAACGGATACTCGTGTAAAGGCACGGGTATCACACTAGTTGACATAATAATAACATTGACATAATAATAATAGGCTAAATTCTTGGTTACCCATGTAAAGTTGGGGTAATTTATCCTAATGACTTATATCAATGAAATTTTGTCACATAAATTAAAATTTTAAAATTATATATTAACTAAAAACTTTAAAGAATCAAAATGAAATCAAGAAAATAATATATAATTTGATCTTTGAACAGTAAGAGGTTGATATGTCAAATATGAATAATGATTCTCATATTTGATAGAAAAGAGAATCTTGAACATTTTTTAAGTGAAAAGAGACATAGATACAATACCTTAAGATTTTTTATTAATATGTGATTTAAAATATTTATTTTGTGTTGTAAAATTCTATTGATATAAATTTTATCCTCAATTTTGTATCAAATTTTTCTTCGGTATATTTATATAAGTGTTTCAAATTTCTATATCTCCCACAATTATGAGATCCTAAGATTCAATTGCACTTGGATCATCTATGGATATTGAAAAGTGGTAGATAGAACACATGATAACAAAATCTAATGTATGACTATTTTCGATAAGTACAAAATAAAAGTTTTGTTTGTTTATTAATTGAATAGTAATCAAATACTTAACTATAAAAAAGGTACTTAATTATAAGTACATGATTAAGGTTCACCGACTAAATATAAATGTACCCTATAATCATGATCGTAGGCCATGGAAAATAATAAAATAAAGAAAGTGCGCATTATGTAGATAGACTAGTGTGTCTTTTACATGTAAGATGACAAATAAATATGAATAATATAGAACTAAAGTTAAAATCACTCCTAATATAATATCACAAAAAGTTGTCATTTAAATTACCTCGATATCCGTATACTATTAATTTATAATAGTGTGAGTAATATGTGAGTCAGTATTGCTTTTCTCCCTACTTGTACTAATATATATCTAGATTATCATATAATTATAAAAAGTGAAAAATATATAATTATGTAAGCAATAATGAACTTCTTGACTATAGTTATTATTTGTTGTTTTCAACGGTGGGATATTACCTTACAAATATTTTTACGATCGAATTAAAAAAAAAATGTAAGTATGAGATTTGAAATTTAAAAGTTAGAAGTAAGCAAACTGATATGTCAGCTTCATTTAGATCTGATCTTTAAAAGTTCTTATAGGTGAAACGAGACGAGCATTGCGTAGGTTGTGTGTGAGGTTAAAACTTTGCTCTATTCTAAAAAAAAATATGAGAGGGGAGCAGATTGTATTACTAATTAACACTGCATATTTTAAATTTAAATATTACAAATATTTATTTTAATATTTGCACTGCAAAACACTGCAAAAATGGAAGAGTTAAATAGATATATTAAAAATGCGAGTTTAAAATTTTATCTCACATAGCAAACGGATATTATATGCCGAACCCGTTTACCATTTTTTTAAAAAAAGTATGTATTTGAGTTTGATTAGTTGGTTAGATTTTATGTTAAGAGTCTCACATCAAATAATATATGGCCTGAACATGTGTTTATAAGTGGGAGCAATCCTCACCCTACAAGCCGGTTTTGTAGGATTGAATTAGGCTCAACCACATCTTAATATGGTATCCACGCTCTAGTTGTCTAGTTCTGGGCGTGAGGGAATGTGTTAAGAGTCTCACATCGGACATCAGACAATATATGACCTGAACATGTGTTTATAAGTGGGAGCAATCCTCATCCTACAAGCCGATTTTGTAGGGTTGAATTAGGTCCAACCACATTTTAATATTTTATAATATTTGATCTAGTCGACTAATGTTAAAGAATATTGTAGAGTTTGTCATCTAATAGTTCTTCGAGTCTGTTCAGCTTTGATCACATGTGTCCCTAAGACTGTCTCCTCTCCAATCGGTCTCATTTCATAAGATCCAAGTCACCAAATTTCAAATGAATTGGACCTTGTTTCAATACATATTACTTTTATATTATACAAAGTGTTCACTCTTGTTTCTTTTAACCCCTACGAGACATATGTGGGTCATACATATGTAGGTGTTAAAGTGTCCACCCATGTTATATTCTCAAATTAATTAATTTTTTAGCAAGTTATTTTAAAGTCGACAAATGCTAAGAAGCTTTTTGTTACCCGTTTGAAATTTTTATCACCAACAAGAGGACTTTGTTGAGTAACACATTTAATTAAATTATCAACTAATAAAGAAGAGCATGCAAAAGAAAAATAGAGAAATTAAAAGGAATATAGCAAAAGAAAGTTCCAATAACAAGAAGGAAAAAAAAAGGACAAGCACATTGAAATTGTCATGATTATATTCAAAACAGCGACATTACACCAACGTTGTCTTTCTCTTCCCTTTTTCTTTCCTTAAATTCACAACTCTTCCCCCACAAAACCAACACTTTCGCTTCCATATTCTCTGGCTACATAGATGAAATGAAAATGGACACAGAAACAAAGTGGTGTCTTCCAACTCCAAGTAATGTTGCAGTTGAAGATATTACTTGCATGGATAATAACCAAACAATGGCGATGATTGAGAAAGTAAGCAAAACGGTGCGTTTACTTGGTTTCTTGATACAAAATGGTGTCTCTAAGAGTAATAGAGTTATGCAGGATATGCATGAGATGATGAAGAGAGGGAAAAACATAGGGAAAGCACTCAACACTGTGATGGTGAAGCACCACGAAACACTCTCATGTCGTCCGCGTGATGCTGATATGTATTTTGTGTCACCGTTGGAGTATCAGTTCAGCTGTAGCAGCAGTCCACCGCGTCTCTCTCGCGGTACCAGCAGCAGGAGGAAGCTTTTATCTCCGGCAAAGGAGGTGTGTCGCAGGACTGGTAATGAAAGGAGGCGCGTGAATACGACGACGGTGTCGAGGGAGATAGAAAAGGAGGGAGAGTTTCATGTTGACCAAGCCGCGGAGGAGTTTATCGACAGGTTTTACAGAGAGCTGAGGTTGCAGAAATGGTTGGATCATCATCACCATCATCATCATCGTGAGTATTAAAGCTGCTTCTATGGGTTTTTCTGAGTTTCTGTACAGTTGATGATGAAGGTGTTGATGTTGATTTTAGTTTTAACCTGTAATAGACTTGTAGATGTACGATAATGGGTTTTCAACAGCTACCTTTTTTAACTTCACTACTTCGTTGACCTATTCTTTCTATATTTAAATCATTACTCTTTTTGGTAACCCAAAAAAAAAAAAAAAAAGTACTCATATATTTACAGAGAAAATGAATGTAGAAAAGAAACTAAAGTCCTTATCTCAAAATGGTCTATGGAGAAATAGGTAAACCACAACAACACCAATGTTTTAAAGTTTGGACAGATCAGACAAGTCATACCGATCAGATCAAGAATAAAAAACAAAGATGTTTTAGTTCGATTTGAATCGGTTTTAAAATGATAATTTATCAAATTTAAATATAAATTTATTTACGATTTAATTTAGTTTTAAATTTATTGATTAAAAAAATCAAATTCAATCTAATTTAATTTTATATTATTTAATTTGAATTGACTTTTTAATATTCAAATTAAAAATCATATATTTTTATTAAAATTGTAAAAAATTTAATAGATAATAAATTTGATATAATATATAAAAAATTAATATCACAAAATAAAAATAATTGATTTTAGTTTAAATAAATGAAATAATAAAAATAAATAAATTAAATAAAACTAATAAATAGTTTAAAAAACATAAATATCATTGAATAAACATATAATACTAATAAAAAATAATATATATATATATATATATATATATATATATATATATATATATATATATATATATATATATATATATATATATATATATATATATATATATATATATATATATATATATATATATATATATATATATATATATATATATATATATATATATATATATATATATATATATATATATATATATATATATATATAGTTCGGTTCGATTTGAATTGGTTTTGAAAAATAAATTTGAAATTTGATTTGAGCTGAACAATTTTTACAAAATAACATTCAAACACATATAATAATATTAAGTTTATTTACGATTTTTTATTTTTTTGGATTTGTTTTCATTTTTATTTAGATTGATTTAGATTTAAATATTTCTAGATAGTATGATAAATTGAAAAAGTTTAATGACCAAAATTGGTACTCCTTTCATTTCAAAATAAAAGTCATTTAAGAATATTACACACATATTAAAAATGCTGAAATGTGTTAAATGATTAAGAGAGTCAAGCGGATCGATTGTAATGTATTTGACATAGTGACGTATCTGGCATAGTGAAATCTCACACAATATGTGAGGGGACTGAAGTACCGTTATTTGGAAAAGGAGAACCAGAATATATTTTGGTGTTCTTTATTTTTCTACATTTATTTTCAGGGCTTTAATATTCATAATAATTCCGAAAAAAATAAGAACAACATTGCTAACATTCATAATCGAGAAAATTTCATTAATATTGGTTAATCTAATTCATTCGGCCTCCCTCTTAAATTACTTTTCATATTTATAATAAAATAACTACCATTTAATTTGAAGGGACTTGGGTTTGAGACCCCATGGATACAAATGTTATATTTTTATTTTAAATTCAGAATTGTTTAATATTAGTATAAATCGTACAAATTATTTGTCACTAATGTACATTGACATAGTGGTAAAGGTATATGATAAGATATGAAAGTCTTGGATTTTATTCCTTATAAGAACTAATTTTCTCATTTTTTGATATTTTCAAATCTGAATTGTTTAAAAATAAAATCAGAATTAAAAATAAAAATAAATTTAGTATTTAAAAATAAAAAATATAATTTGGCGGTCCAGTCATGGTTTAAAAGTAGAACGGTTTGAAAAAAATATTAATAGAGGAACTAATATGAGTCAGTTAAATTTTGTAAGAAATTAAATCGAATCCTTTTTTTTTTGTGAAAGACTAATTTGTGTTTTATAGTTTTATAAGGAATCAAAATAGGTCTTCACTCTTTTTTAAATTCGATCAACAATCATATTATCTGACTAGTAATCTACCGTCTGACCCAATGATACAATACTTTAATCAGACTAATCATCAGTCTGGATATTAAAATATCGATCAAGGGTACCCATGTTTATTATTGACCAACTTATTTGTTTAAATATTTTCATTTTTAAAATTTATGAAAATATTAAATTCAAAAAAAATAATATATAATTGACTTATCTACCTTGCAAGCCTATGGAGATTAATGGTGTGTTTGTTTTAAAGATGGTAATTATGTTTTTTTTTTCGAGAAAGTGACATTGGAAATACAATAATTCTCTTTTGTTTTAAGTTTTAAAAAAATATTCTCAAGGTATTTTTTATTTTGATAAAATTATTATATATAATTTTTATTATAATTATTTTCATGTTTAAAGAGTGTGATATAGTTCAACTAACTACAACTTTTTACTACGGCTCACATTTATTTTTATTTTTATTTTTTATAATTTTTAAATTAAATAAATATTATAAACACATTACTACGACTAAGTGAAACTACCTCGATTGATAAAGTGTTTTTATCTCGATTTCGTGGATGAGATAAAAAAGTGTGTGTGTGTGTGCGTGTGTGTGCGTGTGTGTGCGCGTGTGTACGTGTGTGTGTGTGTGTGTGTGTGTGTGTGTGTGTGTGTGTGTGTGTGTGTGTGTGTGTGTGTGTGTGTGTGTGTGTGTGGATCGAACTCTAGTAGGGTTGAAATGGTAGTTTCTGATCCGACAAAAATTAAGCATGAGATCGAAGCTTGCTCGCATGCTGCTGTCAAATTAGTGTGTATTGTAGTCGAAGTTGTCCTAACATATATTAGTCGATATTTACTAGGTTTTTTAGCATGTCGATTTGGGCCTGTTTGTTATGCCCAATTGTTTAAGTTAAATTGTTTCCTAAGTTAGCTTGTAATGTGTCTGTGTGTAAAAGCCTATTAGTTTATTAAGTTATTTTTCTTATAAATAGTTGTTGGCTAGGATTTTCACAAAGGGTTAAAATCTAACCAAAAGCAAAAAAGGTTCTTTGAAGACTTTGAATTATAGAAAATTGACCACAGAAGTAGTCGACCGGAAGAGGTTTCATAAAAGACCAATTTAGGCTTGTGGACGTAGTCGACCAAAAAAGAGGCCTCATGAGGAATGGATTAGACTCATGAGTGTTAAAAAGCCCAAAAGAGGGTATAATTAGCAAAGCAAGGTGTTGTGAATGGATAACATGGGTTCAATAGCAGGAATGGAGAACATGGGTTCGATAGCAGGAATGGAGAATGTGGGTTCCTGGAGGGAAGTTACAAGAGACGTGTAGCTCATAAAGAAGCGAATCCCTTTGAAAAGTAAATATTTTCATGTATTATAAATAAAACACTTAGTGCATAGTGTAAAAGGTTCAAACTTTCACATTCCTACACGCTAGTCACTCAGTACCCAAGCAAACGAGCGAAATGAGTCAAGCAAGGGCGATGTATGTTTGAATCAATCCATTTTCAACTATTTTGATGTTATGTCATCTATTTTTAAAGTTTAAAACGTCTTTGTTTTATTTTACAATTCCTGCTTTATTGCTTTTAAATTCGTTCGCCTTAGTCGAACATACCCTTTTGAACATACTTTGTGAAAACACTCGAAAACTGAAGCACTATACTGAGATTTCCTGATCGATCTCGCCAATAAACTTTTTGTTAAGAGATTAGCGTTGTGTACCAAAACTAGAGGTAAACAAATTGGCACACCCAGTGGAACAGTGCTAATAATTTTGTATTTTGTGTGTAGTTTTACAAAGTTTCTTATAGTTAGTGTGTGTATAAATTTGAGAAGTGGTAATCTTTTGTCCAAGTCTAAAATGCCACGCTCTGACACAAACACGGCACATACGCAGATTTCTACACAAAATATGGATGTCATACCAGTAAGTATCACAACTCAAAGCGCGACAGTTTTATCTCCCGTAAGATCGTTATTCATGGTTCAGGGACAACAGTCACAATGACAGAACCTAAACATGGGATATCGTCATTTGACCCAAATCGACCACTCTTTCCAGGGGGTCCAGGGTCATCATTTGTCCCTTACCAATATGGTATGCCTTATTCCATGATGGTGTGGTTACAGTCGAACCTGGCCATATATATAGAAAACACAATGGCCACTGGAAACCAAGGCAGTTATGTCCCAAGTGGTCGACCATGTGGTGTTAGTTATGTCCCGCAGTCGACACCATCTTTTAATATTATTTCTGTTATGGATTTAAAGCAATAGATGGATGATAGTAATTTAGAGTTAGTAAACCTCTTAACTCAATAAATGGGAGTAACCCTCAATCTTGTAGTTGACCAAATAGGTAGATTGATTGACTCATTAGGGGTCCAACCAACTCAAACCCACCACAAGCCGTTGAGAGGTTTTGAAGAACTAGAGGGGGACAACAATGAGCGTCCTTTTAGATCTAGAAGAGTTAAATTACCCACTTATGAAGAAGGAGAATTCGTTGAACAATACGAACCTAGGCCAATCGTAGTTAGGAGAAACCAAGATGCTGATCGAGTGCTAAAAAATATCATCGTTGGACGTAACAACATAGTGAATGCGGTAGAAGAAGTATTAACATGATCTGAAGTAAATGTTGGCCTCCGAAGGCCCAATTACTCTTCGCCCTTTCCTGATTACATTCAATAGGCAGAATTGCCTAGGGGATGTAAGGTACCTAAATTTACCAAGTTTGCTGGTGATGCCAATGAGTCGACCATAGAACATATTGCTAGGTACGAAACAGAAGCTGGCGATATCACCAACAATGAGGGTTTAAAATTAAGATATTTTCCTAATTCATTTACAAAAAATGCTTTTACTTAGTTTACGATGTTGACTCCAAACTCCATACGCACTTGGGAACAACTTGAAGGTATATTTCATGAGCAATTTTATGTTGGTCAGCCTAAGATAAGTTTGAAAGAGTTATCCTCAATCAAGAGGAGGTCGTCTGAGTCAA